TGGGCCTCCTCATCTTTATCTGCGCAGTGATTGGCTCACAGCTCCGTCTCCTGACTTCTTCTTCTATGGTAGTGAATACCATACTGTAAATATAGGAGTTAATTCATTAGCATACAGTCCAGTGAACCGTCTCAGGGGTTCTCTGATGCGATCCTCCTGCTGTTCAAGTTAAAGCTACTTAAAGTTGTTTTTTTATTTACGTTGTTTTTAAGTAAGACGTTCCCTGAAAGTCGCACCAGCTGCTTTGAGAACTGTCGACACAGCTGAGCAGCCGGTCGTCACTTGAGCCTGACTGTGCAAACCAGGATTTCTCGTCTTTTTTTTTTTTTTTTTGCATTCTTCCCAGGAGGGAGGAGCTAAGACGCGAGTGGGCGATGCGAGGAGACACTTTAACATCATGAAAAGCACCTCGAGACTCATCCAACACACTCGAGGTCAAGGACGGTCGAATGTTTGTGTCAGACTGGCGGCGTCCTGAAGCGCCACCGTGCACGCTGCTGGGGTCGATTTTTTTAAAATCAGGACTTGAGGAGGAGTGAGCCTGAACTTCCTGGAAAAGATAATACACTGTGGGTGGAGCTGGGCTGAAGAGGGTCCTCAGTGACAGACTCCACCACTGGATGCAGAGCGTGTGTGTGTGAGTGTTTGTGTGTGTGTGTGAGAGTGTGTGAGTGTGTTTCCAAACATGTGCTCTCAGAGTCAGTTTGATATTCAGCCTCATGATTCATCAGAGTCAAGACTCTCCTCTAACTAACTCTGAGTCATCAGAATAAAACTCTTGTCTCTGTCTTCCCTGCCCCCTCTCCTCCTTTATTTTTTACTCTTTCTACTGATTCTTCTTAAAGTGTGTGTGTCCTTCTCACACACACACACACACACACACGCACACACAGATTGGGTGTGTGTATTTCTGTGTTTAATGAGCGGGGCTTTGATGTACCCCGGCTTCCTACGACGACACACACACAGACTTCAGAGCGCTCTCAGGCAGCCTGCAGACTGAGATGCAGATCAGCTCCAGGTTTCAGAGGATGATGAATGCTGCAGCTTTTATGTGTGGGTGAAGGTATGCAGACAGATATATATATATATATATATACAGGTGGTGTGAATGCACACACCTTAATGTTTGTGTGTCTGCGTGCAGCTCTTCTTTCTCTCCTGCACAAAAAGAACAAACACTTTTTTTGTGCACACCTTTAGTTAACATCCTCTCGTTCGATTTGATTGGAGACTTAACGATGCATCAGTGAGAAGTCTGAAACCCTGGAAGCAGACTTCTGAAGAGTGTCAGACTCTGAGCTCGTCCTCCAGAGGGGAGTCGCCCCCTTTGTTTTGGAGAGTCAGGCCCTGGATTACTCCTGTTTATGTTTATATAACAGCAGAGAGGAGATCAGCTGATGTCTGAGTGTGCCCCCCCCCCCCCCTCCCTCTCTCGCTCTGACAGGCCGGATTATCTGCGTGTCATGATAGCGCTCGCCTGCAGAGGTCAGATTATAATTGATTAATCAGATTAGCGGGCTGTCGGTGAACGAGGAATGTTTGCTTTAGCAGAGATTGGATTGAGCGATCGGACACACTCAGAGCTGCAGTGCGTTCTGGGTAATGGGCCGTCGGATGTTTAATGTCGTGGAAACTGTTGTAATGGTGTCGATGATGATGATAGCTTTTAAATAGAGACGGCAGAATCTCATATTCATGTTGGACTGCAGGCCCGATTAGCTTGTGTGTGTGTGTGTGTGTGTGTGTGTGTGTGTGTGTGTGTGTGTGTGTGTGTGTGTGTGTGTGTGTGTGTGTGTGTGTGTGTGTGTGTGTGTGTGTGTGTGTACTATTGATTAAACTGTTAATGTTCAGACATAAAGCGGCTCACTCAGAGCAGTTTTTCTTGCCTCTAGTCGTCGGTTCAGGAGTGTCGGGGCAGTTTACGGCCCCCGCGGGCTCCATCCTTCTTTTGACACTTTCACAGCTCTCTCTCTCTCTCTCTCTCTCTCTCTCTCTCTCTCTCTCTC